AATAGTTAATACTATAATATTATGAAAAGTGCATAGTACATTTATTATATTATGTTCAGTTTTCTATAAATAATATTATACTTAATCGACCAATAGTTAATACTATAATATTATGAAAAAGTACAGTATATTTATTATATTATGTTCAGTTTTATTTTTTTAAATATATCTATTTAGTTTTTTTAATACATTTTTTATTTCAGTTTTAGTTATTTATTTTTAAATGAAATAAATCTTTATATTTTATTTCAGTTATCATTTATATTATTTAATTTTTAAAAAATTATATGTTATTTAAGTAAATAATTTTATTTATAAATAAGTTAATTTTTTTATTTTTAATAGTCTTAGTTTTAGTTCTCTGAACAATAGAATAGGGCAGAAACTGTGTTGGATTTGTATAACATCGTTCCCTTATATTTGTGTTCTTGGTGCTTTTATTGTAAAATATGTGAATTAGTCATAATAGCGCGTGAGTATCTGGCAGCGTTTGTTTGTCCGTTAACCTCTCTGGACTAAAGGTTTAGCGCAGCAGTTAAAAGTATCGACTGATGTGCTGCTCTCAGGGTCCATGAACATGGATTAATTGGTTTTTGGCGAGACGCCACGCGGTTAAAGCTGAGCAAAGCCAAACCGGAGCGCTTTTCATTTAGATGAAATGATGAAACAATCATCAGGGACTGCTGGCTTTTATTAGGCTTTAAATCTGCAGTCCTGCTCTAAGAGACGACACGTCTTTCTCCAGAAGATACAGGTCAGATGGCTTTTCCACTTTAACATGACGATTTTAACATATTTACAAAAATCAACCTCAAGACTTTTTGTTATAAATTATGTAAAAAAAAAAAAAAATCTAGCTTTTATTTCACTTCCATTTATTTAGTTCTCATCAAAGCATGCAAAATTAATGCAGAAAGGAGAGGTTGGAAATGCATTACCATGACAAAGTTTAATTCTTTATTTTGTACATATTTTTTGATTTTTTGATTTTTTTGTTTAAAGCATGTCTGTATAAACGCAGTAGAAGATGACATGCGATTTTCATTGTTAGAATAATGTTTTACACATGTATGTGAGGGTTTTGTTGAATGATGCTTGTGTTTTCATGATGTTTGGAAAAGTTGATTCATTGAGTCCACATGTCATCTCGCTCGTCCAAGAGCTTCGTCATGTGGTTATAGATCTGTACTCGTTGCTGGAGAGTGTGAGTGAGATCAGTTCACCAGATGGGCTCCTCCTCTGTCAAATGTCTAAATTAAAATACATTTTCTCGGCCGTCTCTGAGTTTGCAATGACATCATTGCATCTGTGCTCAGATTTCTGCTCTGTTTCTCTGTTTTGCAGAAAGGACGTTGGACTTAGACGGTTCTTCCCCAAAAGTTTGTTGGAGTCGGTTAAGGTGAGCGCTGAAGCTCTCTATTGCAAATACATTGGTTATTAAAGGCACAATATGTAATTTTCGCCACTAGAGGGTGCGTATTCAAAATAAACAACGAGACAAAGGCGTAATTTGATGACGCCGTGACTGAGTGTGGAATCATGGGAGTTGTGGTCTTCATCCCCACAGCTGATGCAATCCGACGGGACTTGGGCAGAAATCATGTTCATGGATGAGCTAATGATTTATTAACGTAGTAGTAGGAAGCAGGGTGAGGCTGAAAGCCGTTGAAGCGAAACGAGGCGCTGAACGAGCGCGACACACGGCTCGAAAGCAGCGGAGCTTTTATTATGCCACAGTCGACCGCTTCCGCTGCTTCCGGTCGTGCGTATGTGGGGTAAAGCAGCGGAGCTTTTATTATGCCACAGTCGACCGCTTCCGCTGCTTCCGGTCGTGCGTATGTGGGGTAAAGCAGCGGAGCTTTTATTATGCCACAGTCGACCGCTTCCGCTGCTTCCGGTCGTGCGTATGTGGGGTAAAGCAGCGGAGCTTTTATTATGCCACAGTCGACCGCTTCCGCTCCTTCCGGACGTGCGTATGTGGGGTACAGCAGCAGAGCTTTTATTATGCCACAGTCAAACGCTTCCACTTCTTCCGGTCGTGCGTATGTGGGGTAAAGCAGCGGAGCTTTTATTATGCCACAGTCGAACACTTCCGCTCCTTCCGGTAACCAGGCCCCCAGCGACCGAACTAGCGGGACTAGGGAGACCACCGACGTACCCGCGGTGGGGCAGCGAAGTGGAGCACAGGGACCCGACCCGGAAGGCCGCGCGTCCCAGGGTGGGGTCTGAGTGCGCAGCGCGCGACTTACCTGGCTCCACGGCTGGGCAGGGGGCTCGTGAGGAGGCGTAGCGTCCTTGAACTGAACCCTGCTGCCCATTAGCGAAGGGAGAGGGGGACGGCGGTGTGGAGACTGGGTCTCATGCACCACTGTCCTCGCCCTCTTGGGACCCGGAGGCAAAGGAAACTGCTCTTTTATTGAAGTTTTGGGTACCACTGGCTGGGTTGAACAAAAACAAACGGGAACATAAGATTCTCCACCCGGCCCTCCTCCGGGGGAAGGAGTGGTGCAGTCACCATCTCCTGAAGAGCAGGATCCAAGAGCTCCGGATCGCCCGTCTCAGGGACGCCGCCTGCTCTGGCGCTTCACGGGCTTGGCAGGGGTGGAGGCGGGCTGCGCCGGTTTCCTGCGGCCAGCTCCACGCTGCGGCCATTGTGAAGGCTTATATATACTGTGTATATATAAGTTTTTTTTTTTTTCATTTTAGTAACACACTTTAGTTTTAGTTAACTATAATAACCCTGATAGTGACTGTCAATGATGGTTGTGAGGTGAGGGAAACTCATCACATGGTCAAGCTGGATGGTGTCAGTGTGTGCAGCTGCTATAAGAATAGTGTTCACCGACTGAGACAATCCCACACACCCCTGCAGACAGATGCTCAGTAAAATAGTGGGCTTGTCCTCTGACCCTGAGGGTCACCCTTAAACATGGGTGTGCACGTGGGCGGGACAGAGGCGTTATTTCATTGCCCCAGAAATCGAGCCATCCTCCACCGCCTATCATGATAGAGACAGATTTAACTGCAGTGACACACAACATGCCTTTATGTTAAAATGAAATAAAACCACTTCTCATTAAGAACAAGAACATGGTCTTCTTTTTAATGAAATACCAATGGTTATACAGGCTAATTATGCATTGGCCGGTTATAACGTTTAATCTGTGCACTTCCTAGTAAATGTAATTTCCGAGAGTTTCCAGCATCAGTGTTTAAGCAGAGCTCTTTTGATGGTGTTAGAAGAGAAACGAGGTTCAATTAAAAGCGCAGCCATCTGTCACTGACCGCATAAATGAGATTCAGCCCTCACTGAGTCAAGCTCACATGTCATCATTTTAATAACAATACTGTTTGTTTTCACAGCATAAGGGGCTTATTAAAGGGACAGTTCAGACAAAACATGAAAATCCTGTCATTATCTACTCACCTTTATGTCGTTCCAAACCTGTATTACTCTTTAGCTGGAGCAAAAAAGGAAACTTCTTGATGAGCTGCTGTTTACTATACAAGGCTGTATTTATTTGATTTAAAATACAGTATAAACTGTAAAATTGTGAAATATTATTACTATTTAAAATAAGTATTTTCTATGTGAATATATTGTAAAATGTAATTTATTGCTGTGATCAAAGCTGAATTTTCAGCATCATTACTCCAGTCTTCAGTGTCACATGATCCTTCAGAAATCATAATAATATGCTGATTTGCTGCTCAAAATCATATTTTTATGATATGGTCATTTTTGCAATTTTTTTTTTTTTTTAGCTCTGCAGCCTCAGTTTCACAATTCGTTGATTTTCCACAAATGGTTTTGGAAAGACATTATGGCATAAAATGGCGACAATATTCTTTTAAAGTTTACATATCATGAAAATCTGACTTTTCCGGGTTTTAAGTGCTATAATCAGGTCCCCGGTGCATCTACCAACCAAGGAAACGTGAAAAAGATTAACCCAGTAACTTTGTTTAGGTAAGCGTTTTTCTGCAAGCGTCTGAGAAAACGAGCGCGTCTGATTTCGCTCCCTTGGTGACGTGGCAAAAGGATCTCATTATAATATTACCGCCCCTTAATCTGTAAACTTCCACTCAAGGCGCCGTCATTTTGATCTCGCAAGCGACACCGGTGTACCAGCTCTAATGCATAAAACGCATGATTTCAGCGCGTTTAACATTAACATGATAATCAGAACCATAACAGATGTTTTTAGCAGGTCCGAGCTGTAAAGGCGCAGCTCTATTCTAGAAAAGGGGGCGGGGAGCAGCAGCTCATTTACATTTAAAGACACAGGCCCGAAAAACAGCTTTTTTCTGCTTTCACTCAAAATAGGCATTTTCAAAATCATATAATAAATGATCTGTGGAGTATTTTGAGCTGAAACTTCACAGACGCATTCTGGGGACACCAGAGACTTATATTACATATTGTAAAAAGGGGCATAATATGCCACCTTTATGGCAAACGAGGAGAAACCAGAATAGATAATAGATGAGAGAGATTAATATTCAGATGTTTTAGAGACGATATTTGAAGTGTCATGCAGTAAAGAGACATAAATGATGATTAGGTATACCATAATTTATAGATTTATTAATTTATTGTTGTTTTTTCTTTATTTTTACTTCATTATTATTGTTGTTGTTGTTATTCTTAATTTTTTATTATTATATCTTTAATCATTTTTCTTTTAATTTTAAATAAGTTTATAATAAGTTTAAGTTAAGTTTAATAAGGTTTTGTCTGATTCACGTCTTTAGTATTAATAGTATTAATTATCAACTAGGTTTAATAATAAATTTTTGTGCTGTCAGTGATCTTGCATGTAATAATAGAACATTTTACCCATTGTTATCTACGGCTCCCTGTTATGCAAAGTGAAGGTTTGAAATGGCGTGTCGTAATAACAGAGAAGAAGAGCATTCCAGCCTCTTGTTTGGTCCGTCAGACCCTTCCCATCATTCCTCCACAGATGTAAGCTCAGATACGGGGGCTGCACTTCCTGTCAGGAAGATTGGACGGCCCCCTCTGATGTGACCGCTCACATGTTTGATATGATCTGTGTGTGTCTGTGTCTGGAAGGCTGTTAGGATATATACCCATAATGCCTTTCAGAGCTCAGATGATCTCTAACAGCACGTGCCGTGTGTAACGTTTGTGTATTTTGATGAGAGCAGGAGAAACTGATAGAGATTGATCACTGCAGCGCGTCTCATTTGACTGACAGCTGAATTTGATGGTTGTAATGAACCTGTCAGCACTAATTACTGCTTTGATTCTGGATTATTTTGTTATGCTACATAGATGTGATTTTACTTTAGCATAAAACATTTATTGTGTTCGCTAAGAACACTTACTATTGCTCATTCTTAAACTTTGATGCTTAACTGGTTCTTCAGAACATGAAAAATCTAGTAATCTCTAACATCTAATCTGCTAAATGCGACTGTAAGGCATGAAGATATTATAAACATTAGTATTAGGGCTGCACAATTAATCGAATTTTTAATTCAAGAACAAAATTACGGATGCCACAATTACGTAATCGTTGAAAGCGGCAATTAATCGTTCAAAGTCCACTTATGTTATTCTGTGTGCTTAAGATGTGTTCTTTTCTTTCTTTTTCCACTGTTTTAATTCTAATTTGAGGCTTAATGCTATAGAAAAGCAATACAAGTTTTTCAGTTAGTGTTTTCAGCTTATTTGATTAATTATATAGTAGTTTGAGAGTGTAGGGAAATCGCCACAAGTATGTAATTCGCACTGCTTCACTGGTGTGGCCACTGAAATTGAGCGACTTCTCTGATTGGTGGATATGTCTGCAGGATTATGGGTAGTGTAGTTCTTCAGTGGGAAATTGAATATAGAGTGCAGTAGTCAGGGTCTGGAAGTAAAAATCCCATTTATTTTCTCCAAGGACGAATTGATTTTGAACAAACTTATAAATTTATCTTAGTTTATTTTCATCGGTTGCTTCAAACAATGGTATAAACTTCATTCAGTGTCAATTGTGATCATCATAATTAATGATCGACAATTATGATTTTTGTTATAATCGTGCAGCCCAGTTAGCATCATGATTTTCTGTAAAGCTGCTTTGAAACTGTTATTTTAGTATCACTGAGATGCTATTAAAGGTTTTATTTATATATTTTCAAAAGAAAATGTTGGGGAAAAAATGAAAAATGCAGTCTTTTTTGTTATTTTATTATATCGTTAAATAAAAATGAGAAATGTTTCCTTGGCAATTGACTGAAATAAAATACGTTTAAGTGTTTGTCTTTTATTTTTTAATGGTTTCAGTTTTAGTTAACTATAAAAACGCTGATATGTTTAGTGAAAAGCGCTGTACAAACGAACTGGATTTGACTTGACTTAAATTAAAACACTGGTTTGAAGAGCTTTTTAAATAGATATTTTATGCTTATCTTTATAGCACCCAGTGACACCAGTGCTGTAAATCAATATGTGACCCTGCAGCACAAAAGCAGTGTTAAGTCGCTGGGGGATATTTGTAGCAATAGCCAAAAATACATTGTATGGGACAAAATTATTGATTTTTCTTTTATGCCAAAAATCATTAGGATATTAAGTAAAGATCATGTTCCATGAAGATATTTTGTAAATGTCCTACTGTAAATATATTCAAACTTAATTTTTGATTAGTAATATGCATTGCTAAGATCTTCATTTGGACAACTTTAAAGATGATTTTTTCAATATTTAGATTTTTTTGCACCCTCAGATTCCAGATTTTCAAATAGTTGTATCTCGACCAAATATTGTCCGATCCTAACAAAACCATACATCAATGGAAAGCTTATTTGTTCAGCTTTCAGATGTTGTATAAATCTCCATTTCAAAAAATGGACCCTTATGACTGGTTTTGTGGTCCAGTGTCACATGTGATGTTATTGGAGTAATTTTTTATCTAGTATTGCTCATATGGGGCTTAACTGGAGTCCTGCTGGTGTTTGTAATCAGTGTGAGGTGTAACGCTGCTCTTTCTCTCTGTGTTTCAGGCCAAAACGCTGAGGAAACAGATCCAACAGACGTTTAAGCAGTTCGCCAACCTGAACGACGAGCAGAGCATACTGAAGTTTTTTGAGATCCTGGCCCCCGTCTACAGATTCGACAAAGAGTGCTTTCGATGTGCTCTGGGGGTAAGTCGGGTCACCCCTGCTGTGGGGAATCACTGGGCTTTAGTGCCCCCTGGTGGTCTTTTACTGACTCAGGGTTCAGAATGAAGGATTACCTGACCAAAAATATTATTTACTGTTCATTAAACTGTATTTTACATTATACTGCATACTGTATGCTACTGTTCAAAAGTTTGGGGTCAGTAAGATTTCTTTTTGAAGGAAATAAACAGTTTTATTCAGCAGTGATGCATTAAATTGATCAAAAGTGACTGTAAAGATATTTATAATGTTATAAAATATTTCCATTTCAAATAAATGCTCTTCTTTTGAACTTTCTATTCATCAAAGAATCCTGAAAAACAAAAATGTATCACAGTTTCCATAAAAATATAAAGCAGCACAACTGTTTTCAAACATTGATATTAATCAGAAATGTTTCTCGAGCAGCAAATCAGCATATTAGAATGATTTCTGAAGATCATGTGACACTGAAGACTGGAGCAATGATGCTGAAAATACAGCTGTGCATCACAGAAATAAATTACATTTTAACAGATATTCACATAGAAAACAGCTGTTTTGAATCGCAATAATATTTCAAAATTTTAATGTTTTTACTGTATTTTTGATTAAATAAACGCAGCCTTGGTGAGCAGAAGAGGCTTCTTATGACCTTACCGACCCCAAACTTTAGTCTATAATATACTATATTATACATTATATATTACATCATGATTTGTTTGGCATATTTTCATTTTGGTGTTATAATGAAAGCAATATTTCTAGATAAAATTAGGGAGCCTTTATCAAATTACCCAACAACTAGTTATTTTTTGTTAATTTTTGACCCTGCAAACCCTTAATGATTTATTGTTTTATGCTTAAATCTTAATTCAGTGTGCAGTCAAATCCTGTCATTAACGCTCCTCTCTCTCTGTCCGTCTCAGTCGAGTTGGGTCATATCAGTGGATCTCGCTATCGGTCCAGAGGAGGGAATCAGTTACCTGACAGACAAGGGTTCCACGGTAACGCATACTGAAATCACCATAGCAACAAGCATCTATTTTACATTAATCCCAGTTGTTTGGGTCAGTTGCTTGGTTCTATTTATGAGTAGCTCCGCCCACAGTGAAATCTCATTGGTCCAAAATCCTAACTGAAATTAAACCACAAATGATCTTGTTTGCTGATTGGCTGATTTTTGAAGTTTATAAGGAGAAATGTCTTAATTGTAAAGCTTGTCTGTCCCATTAGTCGCTCTGTCGTGTGATGCATGACTAATGTGTCTAATGTGTTTTTTTTTCAGCCGACACATCTGGCCAACTTCACGCAGGTGCAGAGCATCCATTACTCGTGCGTGGAGGAGAAGGAGAGGAAGGGCGTCTTGCAGCTGGACGTGGCAGGAGCCGCTGAGGTAAACCACACTGCAGTTTAAAGATCATGATCAGCCGTGGTTCTCTGAGAAAACTTTGGAGTTTCAGCTCAAAAGTAAATGATTTTGATTGTAGGATCTAGTGTTTAATTAGAGATGTGTGACTCAGGAGGGTGTAGATCCAGCTCAACCCTGCGCTGACGGCGTTCTACTTTCAGTGCATCACTGTTATTTTGGGTTTTGTCTGTACTTTGTCAGTCTTTTTTTCTCTTTCTGATTGTCTGTCGTTTAGGAGCCATTTTTACCTGGATTTAGACGCTGTGGTGGATTCCTTAGACTTTTTCAAACCAGTGGTGTTATTATTCACTAAGACTATAACGTTTTTGGTCGGTGAAATAAAACTAAATATAAATATTAGATTAAACATGTTTTCATAAACTGAAAAAAAAGTTGAAGTACTGAAATGACTACAACTAAAACACAAATAAAGAAAATAAAGCTAAACAGATATATATAAACTACTAATAAAAATACAAGAAGAAAACATGAAATATATAAAAATGAAAGAAAAGAAATGTTGCCTTGCCAACTTACTTGGGTATAAAATAATAAGTTTCAGTTAAGTACTAAAATTACTAAAACTAAAACAGAAATGAAAATAAATTAAAGCTAAAGAGAAGTTTTTTTTTAACTAATAAAAATAACAAAGCACATAACAAAATTACTAATTTAATTCAGGAAAACTGAAAAATATAAAAATAAGAAAATAAAAATGTATATATAAAAGAACGTTAACAATAAGTTGGAAATGTTGCCTTGTCAACTAACTGAACTAAAATAAGCTTAAATTGAAGTATTCAAATTACTAGAACTAAAACTGAAATAAAATTAAAGCTAAATAGAAATATTGTCATTTTATATTCGTTATTATATGATTTAACTAACAAAAATAGATAACAGAAAATATGATAATAAAAACTAGTTCTAAATATTGATAAATACTAAAATAGTATGTCAATAATACTAAAATAACACAGATTTCAACTGTTAACTTGTGAGATCGTAAGTCTTCTTGACCAATTCGTTAAAGATCTGGCTCATAAGAGTTATTTGTTTGGGAACTGGGCTAGACTGCGTACACAACAAAATATTTTTTATCTCATCACATTTAATCTAGACAGCATTATCACAGCTGGAGTCAAAGGAAGCACTGTTGTGGGCATGTTTGAGGGCATTTGTGGGCGTGTCTTCAGTTGTGGGCGTGTTTGAGTGCAGTTGTGGGCGTGTTTGAGGGCAGTTGTGGGCGTGTCTTCAGTTATAGGCATGTTTGAGGGCAGTTGTGGGCGTGTTTGAGTGCAGTTGTGGGCGTGTCTTCAGTTATAGGCATGTTTGAGGGCAGTTGTGGGCGTGTTTGAGTGCAGTTGTGGGCGTGTCTTCAGTTATGGGCGTGTTTGAGGGCAGTTGTGGGCGTGTTTTTGGTCAGTACAGCTGGTCTGTGTTGTAGCTTGACGTCATTATGAGGCTGCTGTTGCTGATAATGGCTCATTGTGAGTCTGGTTTCTTTCTCGTAGCCTCTCACGATCAGCACGCCGTTCTTCGCCACCGCTGAGAACATGGCCGACCTCATCGACGGCTACTGTCGCCTGCTCAACGCCGTCAGCCAGTCCTTCATCGTCAGACCTCAGAAAGGTACGTCTGCCTCACACTGCTGCATTGTGGGATGTTCGGAGTACAGAGGCAGTGAACCGCAGAATTAGCTTGAATGGGATGCATTGAGTGGAATGCATCTCAGCACGAAGCAGCACAGCTGTTTGCCTCAGCAAGACTCAAATAGAAAGACATATATATTGAAAATAAGTCCACTTGTAGTAAAGTATGAAATGCGGTTCTTGGTAATGTAGTGTCTGGGTGAGTCGTGTTCTCCTGTTTGATTCATAAGCTGGTGCTGTGTGTTTTTCTGTCCTACAGAGGGGGAAAGAGCTCTTCCATCCATTCCAAAGTGAGTCATAAATTCACTTCACTGGTGTTCATGAGCAGTTTAATAAACTGACGTTCATTTCGAGGAGGTTTGAGCAGCAGTTAAGGCTTAAACACCATCAAAGCTGAGCTGGGTGATACATCAAACATTCAATATATGGTTTTGTTGATGATGGTTTTAATGCATTTTTTTTGCCCATGAAGTAAAAAAAGTATATTATGAAAAAAATTTGTTTTAAATATTTTTAAAATCAGTTTTATTTATTTATTTATTTTTGTCCATTCATTTTCTTTAAAGAGCATCATTAGAAAGTCTGGAGTGAAAAAAAAGTTTTATTATTATAGTCAGTATTAATATTAATATATAAAATGTTTTATAACCTTTAATATTTTTTTAATCATTTTAATTTTATTTAATTTTTTTGACCATTAATTTTTTTAAAGAGCATCATTAGAAAGTCTAGAGTGGAAAAAAGTATATTATTATATTCAATATTAATATTAATATATAAAATGTTTTATAACCTTTAATATTTTTTAAATCATTTTAATTTTATTTAATTTTTTTGACCATTAATTTTTTTAAAGAGCATCATTAGAAAGTCTAGAGTGGAAAAAAGTATATTATTATATTCAATCTTAATATAAATATATAAAATGTTTTATAACTTAATATTTTTTAATTTATTTTAATTAAATTTAATTATTATTATTATTTTATTTAATTTTTGTCCATGACGTTTGTCCTAAAGGGCATCATTAGACTAATATCAAGTCTGGAGAGAAAAAGTTATATTATTATATAAAATGTTCATATATATGTATGTGTGTGTATGTGTGTGTGTGTGTGTATGTGTATGTGTGTGTGTGTGTGTGTGTGTGTGTGTGTGTGTGTGTGTGTGTGTGTGTGTGTGTGTGTGTATGTGTGTGTGCGTGTGCATGCGCGTGCAATGTGCGTGCGTGTGTGTAGCTTTTACATTTGTTTGTCCATGAAGTTTCCTAAAGAGCATCATTTGACTAATTTAAAATCAGAAGTATATAATTATATAAAACATTAAAAAAAAATATCAGTAAACAATGTTGTATAACTTTTTTGATTTATTTTTATATAATGTTTAATTAGAAATGTATATATTTTAAATTAGATTTTTTTTTTTAATATTACATATATTTGAAAATTTTCTAAATGTAATATGTAACATAATATATAATATTGCATTATATTTAAATAATGTTTTAATATATTTTATTGTATTTTAATATTTTATGATTTCATGATTTTTCCCAGGCTTAAAAATAGTAAATACCATGTTGCAATGTTCTGATTGAGGGCTAACTAAAGTTTCAATTCTGCATCATGTTGCATTTAGTACATACAAACATTTTAGTATAATTTTGATTATTAAGTTAGCATGCATATTTGCACCTGGTACCAAAAAAACACACACATCCAGAAGTTCCCATGTTCACGTGAGCCATTGGATAATAATGTCTTGTGTGCATGAAAACAACAATAATCACCGGTTTGTTTGTTAATGAAATAATTTCTCCACAGACTTGCCAACAACGAGAAGCGGCTGGAGGGGATCCGGGCAGGAGTTCGTGCCATCTCTGTTTCAGGTGAGACATCTCTGATTTATCAGGTTTCTTGAGGATCTGTCAACTCTGCATGCTTAATAGCCAAGACATTTGTTCAGCATAAGTCTGAGGGACTTTCACCTGTTTTATTGTCCATCAGTTCCAGTTTCAGCTCACTTATGAAAGTTACAGCAGCAGGCTGCATGAATTACACGTGAAGTTTAATACTTAGGTTTGTTCAGATCACTGAGTATGACTAATAGTAATAGTGATGCTATTCATTACAATCAAATGCATAGTGAATGTGGTTTCGCAACATCTCTAAAGGATGTCTATTTGATGTCTTCAAGATGTTGGGCTGGTTTCTGCAACATCTGCACACATTTAGAGCTCGTCGTCACTTGTATATTTTAGATGTTTCATGCTCATGAACGTGTCTGCTATTTATAAGCGGTTTACGATTTCCAGCATAAACTATAATCTAAAGCCACTTTCTGAAGACAGTATGCATATTTAAATGAAGTCAATTTCATTCTTCTCAATGCAGACATGCTTCATTTTTGATGTTATTGCACTCGTTTCTGGATGTGTTTGTACTGATTTGCACCTGAGTTGCATAATTCATTTAGTGAATCAAGTGCTAAAATAACAAACAGCACATGTGTGTGAATTGAGCTGATAGTGAAAGTCTGAGCGCCACAGATCGCGTGTGGTTTGTCAGGCTGAAATGTTTTGTCACGGATATGGAAGATAAATATGTTTATTGCGTCTCCATTCCTCCTGCCATATTCGCTTGCTTTGCTTCACTCTCTTTCTCTGTCCATCTGTCGTTCTTCACTGAAGACTCTGTGGTTCAGACGCCCACCAAAGCTGCTAAAGCTCGGCGCTTTCTCCTTCCGTTTGTCCTCTGTTCCCATGATTCTCCTCCTAAGGGTACATGCTGTTCCTGTGTGTGTGTTTCAACACTAACCCTCACCTGCTCTCCACCCTAAACACATGTCAGCATATATCAGCTGTTTCCCGTGTGTTATAAGTGCTCTGACACCTTCTCAGCAAATCAGTTTTGTTTATTTTCATCGAGCTGGAAGTGTAGATGTGATTTTGAGTTATGTTAGTTTCTACCTCCTTGACAATCAAATCACATTCCTTTTATGGTTTTTAAACATAATTTATTTATAAAATGTTTATAATGAATATTATAATATGGATATTTATATATATATAGTTTATATAATATTGTTTGCTTATTTGGCTTTTTGAAATTATTCATTCAATTAAACATCTGCAATGTGAAAAAATTTTTATGTTTTATATTTGATATTATATTTGCATAAACAAATATTATTTTAGGATTTTTTTTGTTGTTAATTTGCTTTTTGAAAGTATTTATGCCAATATAAACACATTCCCAGTAACTTCTTATCACTGCAAAAAATAAAAATAAAATAAAATATGTATATATATATACATATATATATATGAGAAATTATATTTTGCATAAACAAAAATTATTTTAGGATTTTCTTAATTTACTTTACAGTTTAATAATAAATTGTTTTAATTGTTTTATATATGTGTGTATGTGTGTGTGTGTGTGTGTGTGTGTGTGTGTGTTGTTTTTTGTTTAAAATAATATGAGAATATTTAATATATTAAAATTATGTAATATATTTTACATTACAGTACAGCCAATTTTCTTTATGCAAAATATATGGGGGGTTTTTTCTATTGATTTAGTGATGAAATACTTAACTTTTGACAGTTTTTTTTGTTTAAAATAATATGAGAATATTTAATATATTAAAATTATGTAATATATTTTACATTACAGTACAGCCAATTTTCTTTATGCAAAATATATGGGTTTTTTTTTCTATTGATTTAGTGATGAAATACTTAACTTTTGACAGTTTTTGCGAGACTTTGTATTTATTTATTGTCTAAATACATTAGACGTATAAACCTGCCTCCAAATAAGATCAGAGCTTTTTCCATGTCAAACGCACTGAATTAGACCCGCGGCAGAACAATCCAGGCAGATGTGTGTCCACGTCCCAATTGAATCTCATCCCACACATTCCTGCAGCACATCTAACCCAATATAACCCGCACTAATGACTCCCAGAACAGCATGAACAAAACACATTTACTGCAGGAGCTGCTCACACAAACCAGTTAACCGCTTCAAATTGATGAGGAACGTGTGTTTTCATGTCTGCTGATGAATTAACTTTTCTCCTCTCTGCTCCTCTCTTCTCCGTTCTTTGCATGGACCTGCAGAAGATCTTAGCGGAGATGGTAATGTCTGACTTGCAATCTTCATTTCTTTCCTCAGACTAGCTCTCTGCTCTGTGTGCATTTGGAAAGTTACTGGAATCTAGTCAATCTCGCGTAGATTGTAGTTTAGTTGTAGTGTGTAAATGTGAGTCTCCTTCACTTTAAGTGCACTTGGAGTCTCTTTTGCTCCCTGCATTCCTCGCAGGGCACTTTAAAGGTGCATTATTTAGAGAAGCGAGTGACCTCTCCCCAAAAAAAAAAATGCTGGACTAAATCTGTTTTGCATGAAGACGAAAGAGTCACTTCCTTCCCCTCGTCTTTCTCGAGCTCGACCACAGAGCCGCTCTCTGATTGGCTGGTCAGACAGACACTCAGATGGAGTTCAGAGAGTTTAAAAGAGAGAAGTGCACTTGAGTTTGAGTGTGTGTGTCTTCATGGAGGGATTTCTTGGCTGGTTGACCGGCTCTAGTTTGTGTAGTGGAAGGTTCCGTGTGTTTGGGGTGGTGTAGTGACCGAGTGGGCGTTATTTTGGCCAGTGTGTGTGAGATACTGACCGCTGCTGCTTCTGTCTCCCTGCAGAAACAGACGACTATGCAGAGATCATAGATGAGGAGGACACCTACACCATGCCCTCTAGTAAGTACCCTCGCTCGTGCCGCCTTTTAAGTGTGTGTAACTGCCATCTTCCGGGATCCCGATGTTTCTGTCCAAATCCGTACGGTTTTCGGAGCCAAATCCTGACTTTTTTTTTTTTCCCCTGTCTGGCTCGTTTGGTTTGTTGATGTGGCAGCAAATGAAATTTTAAGTATCCAGCTCTGGAATATTCTCTCTGGAAACTCAGTTTGTGTTGTGCTTTAGAAGGCTCGATTCATCATATATGAAATAAATCAGGTCATATTTGGGCGCAATTCAGATGCAGAGGGAATTTCTTTCTTTCTTTTTTTTTTTTTTTAAAGCATGCACGTGTTTGGATTGAACTCAATCTGACATATTTGCTTCGGGGATGTTTCAAGGATTCATAAAGTATTACTCATCTATAAAAATGCCCATTTTCTTTTAGGGTTTGGAGTTGAATGTGAATTAGCTTTATATAAACACACTGGACGTCTGTGATGTGTCCTGATTTAGTGAGTGTGTGTGAGTCAGCGACTGCACTCTAACATGCACGAGTGTGTGACTTTACAAACAATCACAGGATTCTGAACACACACCGACTCAATGTGTGTGTTATATGAGTCTCTTCAAGACAGTTTCATGACAAAAATGGTCATCATTTACTCACCGTCATGTCGTCCCTTGACCTGCATGGTTTTCTAGCGTGCAGCACAAAAGCAGATGTTTAGCAGAATGTTCATGCTGCTCTTTTCCGTTCAATGAAAGCCGATGGTTTCCAGTGGCTGCCCAGCTAACAGAAAATGCTCTCAGAACGTTCTGGCAAGGTTCTCTCAAGTAACATTAATAGAACATTCGTTCAGAGTTATCTGGTCTTTAATAATGTTCTCAAAACAATAGCACAAAAACATTTTTTTATGCATTGTTCATGGAACGTTTTGCTGAAACGTTTTGGTTGGACATTCGTCTGACATTTTTTTAAAATGTGACTACTTTCAGAATGTTCAGAGAACATTCAAAAGTAACATGCATTGTTCATGGAACGTTTTGCTGAAACGTTTTGGTTGGACATTCGTCTGACATTTTTTTTAAATGTGACTACTTTCAGAATGTTCAGAGAACATTCAAAAGTAACATTCCGATAATGTTTCTAAAATTTATGAAATCGAATGCTCACTTAACCAGGAAAAGATTTTTAAAACATAGAAAGAAAAAAAAATGACATTTTGAACGTTCTGAGAAGATTCAGAAATAACATCTTCATAACTTATTGGGAACATTAGAAAAACATTCTTGGAGCATATTTTTGTTAGCTGGGTGTCAAACTCCTAAAGAACAAAAAAGTAGTTGATATGACTCATGCACTACATTAAAAGTCTTCTAAAGCCAAAAATGTTAAAGTCCCCCTGTAGTGAAAATCAAGTTTTTTTATGTTGTTTATTTGTCTATATGGTGCTTTTAATATGCTTTTAGACAAACCATGTGCCAATCTATTAATCAACATCATTGCGGAGTATTTTCTCCTTAAAACTGTAGTTTCCCAAAGGCTGACCCAGAAATACGGTTTGAAACAGCCCTGGGTTTGCTACGTCACAAACCAATAACCAATCACGTCAAGGGATCGATTCCTATAACTAGCATGCAAAATATACCAATACCAGCAAAAAAAATATAAATTAATTAAAGCAAAAAACCCATGAAGCTGTGGTTTAATGTGAATTTAGAACCGCTAACTTGCATTATAACCCACGGCAACAGTGTAAAAGTAGCCCGGAGTCAGACCCACCTCTCCCGCATCGGCATCCGCACTTCACACGCGCATGCTCGTGGGCTCAAATTAAGAATCACAAACGGCTGTGTTCGAGTCTTCAAGGCAGTAGTTGTCCGCTAGTAAAAAGATAGTTTTATTAGTCATTATCCGTGTATGCCATTGTTTTGCGTTTACTACAGTTCAGGGGATCAGGAGGCGCTAGCTGGTGTGTGACTGAGTGGAGGCGGGACTCATTTGCATATTCATAGATCAGCGTATAGTAAATGAGGCAAGGGTGTAGAGTTGCATTCAAGCTATTTTAAGGAATGAGAAAATTATTTTCACAAGAAAAAACATTTAAATATGTCATTTTGATGATCAAAGCTAAGTTTTAAGGGATAAAATATTTGACTACAGGGGGACTTTAACATTTTTTGTGATCACATAACGGTAACGTTGGGCTTCAGAGGACTTTAAATGTAGTCACGTGAACTATTTTTATTGCGCTATTGCTCCATTACTGCAAAAAGTGATTTTCTTTCTTATTATTTTTGTCTTGTTTTATTTTCAGTACAAATGTCTGAACATTCTTAAATAAAGATACATTTAATTGAGATGCAAAACAATTTTTGGGAGAAATTGATCAATATTAAGTGATGTTTATGCTTAAAATAAGAAAAAATATCTGCCAGTGGGGTAAAAAAAATACTTATTTTCCCATTAAATTACATTTTTCTTGCATCATTCATTAGTTTCTTGCAAAAATTCATTCAGCATTTTTTGTGTTTTATGCTTTGAAATGACAGGTGAGTAAATGCTCACAGGATTTCATTTTTGTCATTTTGTTAATGGCAGTTTCAGTTCTCTGAAATAGTTTTTATAATTTATTGCTCATTGTACAGGGAATTTTAATGTTGTCCTCTACATGATTTTTATAATCTGCTGAATACACACGTTTTATAACAGCTCTGTCATGATTGTTTGACATGTCTGTGATTGATAAGTGTGTGCAGCTCTCCACATCTCATCCCTCTGTTTCTCTCTCTCTCTCTCTCTCATCCTGAGCTTTAAATCTGATCTAAAAGCCCAATCTCTGACTTTTCTCTTTAACAACCAGCAGAATGCTATGGATTAGACTCAGGTAACACCATCCCTCTGTTTGTGTGCTTCTCTTTTTCTTTTCGGTTTCTCTGTCTCTCTGTCCCAGGTTTGCTGTGTGCTTGTGTTAGAAGCAGGTTCTTCCTCATATCACAGACTAATGCAGGTTTCATAAAATAATTTTGTGCATTTCATGGGAATCGAACCCACGACTTGACATTGTTAGTGCTACGATCTAACTTATAGAAGCTATGATATAAAAACAGCATCTTCACACATCATCTTTAAGGCATTATATTATTATTAAGCATCTTTGTATTATTATTGTGTATATTGTTTATTATTGTGTATAATGTGTATTTATACGTATTTGTAATATCATTATTAATAATATCCCATTCATATATTTTTGACATTAAATACTTTGTATAACTGAAAACCTGCAGAAGTCGTTGATATGTAGCCAAACAATAGATTATTATTTTGTTTTGCTCATTTATATTTTTCAAATAAATTTTGCATTTAAATTTGTATTTATTTTTTTATATATTTTTTTAGGTTTTAAAAGTTTGGAATCACTATGTTTTGTTTTTTTACTGTGATATTCAGCAATATATTTTTTACTAAGATATTTTTTTACTAAGATATTCAGCATTAAAACGATCAAAAATCACAGTAAAGACATGTTAAAAAATATTTATTTTTCAAATTATTATTTATTATCGTTTATTATTTTTAGCTTTTTATTTTGCTGTATCATGATTTCTACAGAACATTAAGGACTTTATTGAAGACTTATTTCAGTACAAGTTATGTACATTAGTTAGAGTGGACTTCATATTTATTATGACAAATGAAAATGAGTCTGGCATATATGTGCAGTTTGTTCTTCTCAATGTTTTAGGTTTCCTTTATTTTCATAGCTAGTTTTTTGTCATCTAGTGACTGTCCTTCTGTCCATCACAGCCTCGTCTTCATTCATGTCCATTTAAATATGGTGTCCACCCTGACTGAGGTCTTCTGTTCATGACCTCAGTGTTTCTAAACTTGCAATTGGCGACTTTCAAGCGATTTGATAAATGGCTGAGCGTTTGTTGATCTCGGTCACAGCTGCTCGTGTGCAGCATGTCGCTCTTCTGAACTTACATGATGTCTAGAGTTTGTAGTTTGTGGATTCCTCTGTTGCTGAGCTTCAGGTTTGTGATGGTTGGCTTCTTGTGTTCTTCATCTGTAGCTCAGGACTATGAGATCCAGCGGGACAGAATCGAGTTGGGACGGTGTATCGGCGAGGGCCAGTTTGGCGATGTCCACCAAGGGGTTTACATCAGTCCGGTAAACAACAGATTCATCGTCCACACAGTCCGCAGAAATATTAATCAAACAAAGACTGCATTTGCCATGAATAGTGTGCCAGCTTGTGGCCCTTTTCATTTTTTCCCCTAAATCAATTCATGTCAGAATCCCATGTTACAAAACTGTTATTTAGCATAAATTGAACATAGCATGAACAGTAGAGTAGTTTTGACTGCATTCGTTTAGCTCAACCTTAGAACCCTATTATAACCGTTTTTAGGAAAATGATCAAGCACATATTTTTGTTTAGAAGTATATTTTAAAATACATGTTTTAATATAATTTTATGTTACAAAAAAGTTAATATAATATGTGATTATTAGTTAGTACAATCTTAACATTTGGTCCCAAACTAGCTCTCTATTGATCAAGCAAATATAATTTTTTTACAAAAATAATACATTTTATATGGAATATACCTTTTTATATAATAAATACGTTTATGTAATATATAAGTTTATCACGGAGTCTACTGAGTGAGGTCTTAATTCAGGCTAAATCTGCAACCAATCTTTTTTTTTCTTCCAAATAAGTACATTTTAAATAATTTTAACAATTAAATGTTGTTGTTTTTTAGATTTGTATCTATGTTTTATGCTATTATGTTGATAACAGTCACAGATAAGCAGGTTTTAAACTGTATTTATGATATACAACTTTTTTAAATAAAATGTCTAATATTTATAATTCAACATTTTTTTCAAGATATTCCAAATTTATTTTATAACTGATTCCCTACTTGTTACTGTGTTCTGAAGCTGTTCAAACCAACTGAAATGTCTCTGTTTGTGGACCTACTGTTTTGCTACTATGTACTTTTAATTTTCTAATCTTAATTCATTCACATAGTTTTTGATTTGTGCGTGTTTGACTTGAAGCATGTGCTCTACCTGACAGGAGAATCCAGCATTATCAGTGGCCATTAAGACGTGTAAGAACTGCACCTCAGACAGCGTGCGTGAGAAGTTCTTACAGGAAGCTCGTGAGTATCAAGAGTTCACACTAGTGACCTACATTTACATTTACATTTAATCATTTAGTAGACGCTTTTATCCAAAGCGACTTACAAATGAGGAGAACAATAGAAGCAATCAGACGAACGAGAGAGCAACAGTATGCAAGTGCTGTGACAAGTCTCAGTTAGTCTAGCACAGTACACATAGCTAGGTATTTTTTAATAGAATGGAACAGAATAGAATAGGTAAGTGCTAGTATTAGTTCGTCAGGTGCTGGCGAAAAAGATGGATCTTTAGATGTTTTTTGAAAATGGCCAAAGACTCAGCTGTTCGAATTGAGATCGGGAGGTCATTCCACCAGCAGGGCACAGTCCAGGAAAAGGTCTGTGAGAGGGATTTTGTGCCTCTTTGGGATGGCACCACAAGGCGACGTTCACTTTCAGAACGCAAGCTTCTGGAGGGTGCATAAGTTTGAACTAGCGAGTTTAGGTATATTGGTGCAGCGCCAGTTGTTGTCTTGTAGGCAAACATCAGTACCTTGAATTTGATGCGAGCAGCTACTGGTAGCCAGTGTAAACTGATGAAGAGAGGTGTAACGTGAGCTTTTTTCAGCTCGTTAAAGACCACTCTCGCTGCTGCATTCTGGATCAGTTGCAGAGGCTTGATAGTACATGCGGGAAGGCCCGCCAAGAGAGCATTACAATAGTCCAGTCTGGAGAGAACAAGAGCTTGGACAAGGAGTTGTGCAGCTTCTCTGACAGGAAGGGTCTAATCTTCCTAATGTTGTATAAGGCAAATCTGCAGGACCCGGGCCGTTGTAGCAATGTGGTCTGTGAAGCTTAACTGATCATCGTTCAAAACTCCTAGGTTTCTGGCTGTCCTGGAAGGAGTTATGGTTGATGAACCCAGCTGTATAGAGAAGTTGTGATGAAGTGCTGGGGTGGCTGAGACCACGAGCCGTTCTGTCTTAGCAAGGTTGAGTTGAATGTGATGGTCCTTCATCCAGCTAGAAATGTCTCTCAGACAGGCTGCAATGTGACCAGCTACCGTCGGATCATCTGGTTGAAATGAGAAGTAGAGTCGAGTGTCATCAGCATAGCAGGGATAAGAAAAGCCATGCTTCTGAATGACAGAACCTAATGATGACATGTAGATGGAGAAGAGAAGAGGTCCAAGCACTGAGCCTTGAGGAACCCCAGTAGCAAGAAGTTGTGACTTAGAAACGTCACCCATCCAAGACACCCTGAAAGACCTACCTGAGAGGTAAGACTTGAACCATTGGAGTAGTGTGGCAGGACAGAGGGTGGACAGGAGGATCTGGTGGTTAACTGTGTCAAAAGCAGCAGACAGATCCAGCAAGATGAGTACTGAGGATTTGGAAGCTGCTCTTGCCAGTCTCAGGGCTTCATTAACCGAGAGCAGGGCAGTCTCAGTTGAGTGGCCGCTTTTGAAGCCAGATTGGTTGTTGTCCAGGAGGTTGTTCTGTGCAAGGAACATAGAGAGTTGGTTGAACACAACTCGCTCAAGTGTCTTTGCACTGAACGGAAGAAGGGATATCGGTCTGTAGTTTTCTAAAAGTGCTGGATTTAGAGTGGGTTTCTTAAGCAGTGGGCTTACCCGAGCCTGCTTAAATGCTGTGGGAAATGTACCAGTGTGAAGAGCGGTGTTGATAATGTGAGTAAGCGCAGGTATGACTGAAGAAGAAATTGCCTGAAGTATGTGAGTGGGGATAGGATCAAGTGGACAAGTAGTAGGATGATTGGAAAGGATAAGTTTGGAAACGTCTGTCTCCGAGAGTGGAGAGAAGGAGGAGAGAGAGTGTGTATTTGTCATTATGAAGTTATCATCGGTTTGTGGTGTGGAGAATTGGTCATTGATGTTCCTTGTTTTATTTATGAAGAATATTGCAATGTATCAGCTGTAAGAGTTGATGAAGGAGGAGGACAGAGAAGAGAAAGTTTTGTAAAGAGTCAGAACAGTTGTTAATTTTGTTGTGGTAGTATGTCGTTTTAGCAGTGGAGACATTTGCAGAGAAGGAAGAGAGGAGAGACTGATACACACTAAGGTCGGTCGAGTTTTTTGATTGGCGCCATTTCCTCTCTGCAGCCCTGAGTCTAGAGCGATGTTCACGGAGAACATCGGACAGCCAGGGGGCAGAGGGGGTAGTACATGGTGGTCTGGATGAAAGGGGGCAAAAGTTGTCTAAGCAAGCTTTTAGAGTGGAGCAGAGAGTGTCAGTAGCACTGTTTGTGTCCAGGGCTGAAAACTGAGAGGGTGAAGGAAGTGAGGATGAAACCATAGAGGATAGGAGAGAGGGAGCGTAGGTTACGCCGAAAAGTGACCTGCGGAGGAATGTACAGTACATCACTTCAGAATTCATTTGAGCTGATGCAAATCTGCTTTGGGAAGTTTCTTTTTTACCATGGCTGTTTCATCTGAACACATGATTCATGGTAGTCCAATTTCATTTGAAATTGTATTTTAGTTATTTATTTTTAAGTTGAATATGAGGAAGTCTCTACTACCACATTTACACACTTTGAGAGAAGTCAGAATCCCACAAAACCAGACTTATTTTGCCAAAGTGTTTTGCATGTGCTGGAGTGAGAATATTGTGTTCAGACTGTGTGATTTTATGTTTGACAGTGACAATGCGGCAGTTCGACCATCCACACATTGTGAAGCTGATTGGAATAATCACTGAAAATCCGGTCTGGATCATCATGGAGCTGTGCACGCTTGGAGAGGTCAGACAGTGTTTTAACCCCATAACTTACATTTAACCCCAAACTTAAATTGTTATAATTAATGAACGCTTTGGAATACAGACCTAAGGTTGGACTCTTTTTAAAGAAGACAATCGGCAGATTATTGTAGAAGTGGAAACAATTAAAAAAGTATCAAAAAGAAAATGCACTGTACAATTTTTATATTTTATATAAAATAAATATTTTTCATTACAGGTTTTACTCTAAACTTGCTATAAAATTAAGCCTTATGTCTAAATAAGTTATGCTCCAAATTTGAAGTTGATATTAAAAAAATTGAGGTTCCTTTGAGATTTTATTTAGGGCGTTATACCACAGCCACCGGGTGACACCCAAACTCCATTGAAATTTATTGATGCATTTTTCTGTCACAAATGTCTAAATATCTCTGTCAATATTACTTCTATCACAAAATATGAAATTTTGAGACTCAAACCTCTCCAATGATATGTATTTTGTCAAGATTATAAAAAGTTTTGATTGTAAAATACCGTAATACATTTTGTAATATGACACCGCCCACTTAAGATATTTAAGTACGATTTCCACGGTAAAGCAATATCTGATTTCAAAATGGTTTTCACAGAATTCATTTAGAGTTTTTAAGCTTTCAAATGATATCTAATTTAGAGTGATAACTAAAATATTTGATAGGGTAAAAAGGCAATTAAATATGTAATGGCTGTGGGCCCACCGGTGGGCCAGTGCTTCTTTATATTATACTCGCTATAAAATCATCTGGAAATCTCCATTGAGAACTATTTGATTCCTTTTTAGTTGAGGTCATTCTTGCAAATAAGGAAGTACAACCTCGATCTGTCCACGCTGATTCTGTTCGCCTACCAGCTGAGCACAGCGCTGGCGTACCTGGAGAGCAAACGCTTCGTGCACAGGTGACTGAAGTTTAGAGATCTTCACAAGCTCAAATCAGGCTTTCATCCGTTTTCTGATCGTAATGCACTGAGGTGAATGTGTGTTTTGCGCAGGGACATCGCTGCCAGGAACGTGTTGGTGTCTTCCACGGATTGTGTGAAACTTGGTGATTTCGGTCTTTCCAGATACATGGAGGACAGTTCCTATTATAAAGGTAAATCACACTGCACTTCTGTTTGTTGTTTAACAAGTAATTAACCAAAATACAACATCATTTACTTCATATGCATGTGCAAGTCACGTAAGTTTTCATTATAGCACTTCCTGTATGAGCTGCTGTGCATTTTAGAGGCTGTAAAATGATTAAAGCTGCTGGAAAATGTTATAATGAATGCAAATAGGCATCGCTCAGAAATGTTACCAGAATAAGGACATGGCGGCCTCTGGTGGATAGTGTTTTTGATTTGTTTTCCAGCTTCTAAAGGGAAACTGCCGATCAAATGGATGGCTCCTGAATCCATAAACTTCCGTCGGTTTACCTCAGCCAGCGACGTCTGGATGTTTGGTGAGTGCTTAACCTTTTTTACTCTGAGAAACAGGAAGATGAATATTTCATGTTACTGTATTCTTACAGTTTGAATCCATCAACATACACCCTGAACACCATCTTTCCGTTATTAATACTATTTTAGTTTTATTGGAAACACGTTTAGAGTTATATATATTTTTTTTATTACATTGAGTATTATTTTGTTTAATTTTACTGTTTAATAATAAAATATAAAACCGTTTAGATTTTTTTTTTAGAAAAAATATATAAATCCTGCATACGTCTTACACACATCATCACACACACACACACAAAAAAAAAAAAAAAAAAAAAAAAAAAAAAAATAATAAATAATTGCAAAAATAGATAATTGAAAAAATAGATAAAAGCATTAAGAAAAAATACATTCATAAATAAACGCATAACTGTATAGATACATAAATGCATAAAAAGAATAGATGGACGAAAGCATAATAATATAGATAAATGCATAAATGCACAAATTAATGTATAAATAAATAAATCTGAAGCCTCCCCCACTTGCTAATTACTGACCCAATTTTCTGCAAGCAGAACTAATTACAAAAGCAGCCACTCTCATCACCTATATATATATATATATATATATATATATTTGCAATGTTTTGATCAGGTGACCTTCCTCAGGCTTAAACAACGAAGGTTGGTTGAAAACATTGCAAATAAAACAAAATTACATTTTTTTTTTTTAGTTTGGGTAGCATTTTCTTTAAATAGAAAATAAATAGAATTTTATTTTATTATTGGAATATTATAAAAGGACTTTTATCCTATGCACCTACAAATGATTCAGGTGTGTCTATATTTTCCATTTTCATTTTTATTTGGACATTTTTTTAGAATATTTATTATATTAGTAATATTTAGAATGAGATTAGACACGGAATCAGCCCTGGTGAAAAAAATTTATAAATAAAAATGGTTGAATATAATATTACTTATTTTTCATTTATTGTTCTGTAATAATTGTTTTATTGTATTTTTTTTTTTTAGTAAACTTTGTTTAGTCCTGTGTATTTGTGATCACTGAGGCAGATTTCTCCCCTCTCAGGTGTGTGTATGTGGGAAATCCTCATGTTCGGCATCAAGCCCTTCCAGGGCGTGAAGAATAATGACGTGATCGGGCGGATAGAGAACGGTGAGAGGTTAGCGATGCCCCCAAACTGCCCTCCCACCCTCTACAGCCTGATGACCAAATGCTGGGCATACGACCCCAGCAAACGGCCGCGCTTCACCGAGCTCAAGACACAGCTCAGGTCAGTGTGGTACTGATGTCAGATAACAGCATCTGCTAGATGAACCAATGTAAACTGCTCATATTGTATCAGCAGTGTTTGTTCTCTGGTTCTGACACTAGAGGTCTCTGTTTAGCTTCCAGAGTGTGTCAGCCTCTCCAGGAAGATCACCAACAAAACTTTTTTGGTTGAGACCTAATGCACAAAAAATTGATCATTTATCATTTGCTGCCCTGCATCATATTTGCTGAACAAAATCCAATACTTGGATTTTACTTGGATACTACAAAAATTTTTTTTTTTGCTGTAGCATGTCACACAAGAACAGCTTTTCCCCCAGGCCACATTCAGTCTGAACAATACATAACATCTCAGGACTGGACATCTGTAAAAAACTCATCAGAACTTTTCATCTGTAAATAGCACATATGCACATTCACAGTTCTGCCGATTGATTTTTTTCTCTTTATTTTATTGCCATATTATATTTTTTATTTATTGTCGGTTCTCTTAATTATTAGTGTTTTATTTCACTTTATTACCTTAAATTATATGTATGTCTGCACTTTCTGTACTGGAAGCTCCAGACACCAAGACAAATTACTTGGCAATAAAGCTCTTTCTGATTCTGATTCTTTGACATTAAATGGAGTATTTGGACATATTTTACCACCTCTTTTGCAGATTATAAGTTAAATTACGTATTTTGAATGCTTCTTTTTGTCATTAAAACAAAACTTTTGACAGTTGAGTGATTAAAGCTGATACATACTCTATATATAAATTGAAAAATATTCAATCTTATTTTATGAAAAACTGTATTTGTTGGAGAGTTTTATTGATGTTTTGATAACTCAGCATAATCAATTAGGTGATTATTAGGCCTTTTTTTGCAAAACAGACAATTTTTTTATTTATATATATATTTATTTATTTTTTGCAAGATGCAAGGCTGTGTTCATTAACAATTTAATGATGAATTTCAGCATTTTAAATGTTGGCAGTATAATTTAGTTATAGCTCTGTACTAGCTCTGTGTACCATTGATAAAGAAAAGAAATGAAGACTGTCAGAAAATGTTACTCATGTAGTTATGAGGCAACAGGTTTCAAGGCCGCCACTAGAGGGCGCGTATTCAAAATAAACAAGGAGACAAAGGCGTAGTTTGATGACGCAGTGACTGAGTGTGGAATCATGGGAGTTGTGGTCTTCATCCCCACAGCTGATGCAATCCGACGGGACTCGGGCAGAAATCATGTTCATGGATGAGCTAATGATTTATTAACGTAGTAGTAGGAAGCAGGGTGAGGCTGAAAGCCTTCGAAGTGAAACGAGGTGCTGAACGAGCGCAACACACGGGTCGAAAGCAGCAGAGCTTTTATTATGCCACAGTCGACCGCTTCCGCTGCTTCCAGTCATGCGTATGTGGGGTAAAGCAACGCTGTTTTATCATACTAGATACGTTTGAAAGTTCTGTTATAATGCTACTCTGTGCGGTCGTCACCGGTCTAATAAAATGCACAACATATTAAAGCGTCTTTGGTGTTTCCATGTTTTCTACAAAACAAAACCGGAAGTCAAGGGGTTATGACGTCATTGGCAGGCGACACAATGACACTATATACACGGTCTGTGTCACTAGTTAAAATTGCTTATTTCTCTGGATTTATACATTCTTCGAAACATTTGGAATAATGTAAGTACACAAGTCAGCAAAATATATAACACTGTTCTAGTGGTTTTTGGATATTTTAATAAAAGAATCTTACATATTGTGCCTTTAAATGGCTTGAAATGCACATGTAAAGCATTAATTATCGTTTGCTTTTCTTTTGATCTAGCCTCAAAAAAATCTTCTCGTCTTTTCCAGGAAGAAAATAAGATGCCCAGACATGTATTTGTCAAATGCACATCACATTGACTCATTCTCGCTCTGTCTCTCTCTGCAGCACTATCCTGGATGAGGAGAAGGCCCAGCAGGAGGAGCGTTTCCGTATGGAGATGAGGAGACAGGTCACCGTGTCCTGGGACACTGGGAATTCAGACGAGGCGCCTCCGAAGGTCAGATCTCCATCTATATCTGCACTTTCAGATGCACATCAGATACAAAATAGCTGTTTTCTGTATTAGATGATGTGTTTGGAAAGACCTCTGACCCTGATCAGGTCTAAATTGGTTTGAGTACCGAGTCTGTTTAAAACCATGCTTTTGGTTTCCACAGCCCAGCAGACCTGGTTACCCGAGTCCTCGATCCAGTGATGGCTATTTCCCTAGTCCACAACACTCTGGTCAGCACAATCATTACCAGGTAACATTACTAGCGCCCACAGCAGCATCTTTATGCAAGCACGCAACAAATAATACATGAAAATATAAATGCACGCCTAAATGTTGAGATACAAGTCTATGTATCAAAAAAGAAAGTACCGTATTGGCCCGAATATAAGACGACCCTGATTATAAGGCGACCCCCATTTTTCCAGATGTACCTTTTGGAAAAAGGCTTTTTAAAAACCAAATCTTGTTTTTTCTCAGTAAAACACATTTTGTCTTCAATTATTTTCATATTGCATATTTTTCCTATTTTAATATTTGTTTTGAAAGTATGGTAAAAACTGGAAAAATGCATCAACAATCACATTTAAAAAATATACACTTTTTGATATACCATTAAAACCCCATCTGAATTAGGACATTTAGGCTATCCATCTAATAGTAGCCTACCAAAATCTTATTAACAGTAGAAGTTAAATCTTACTGTAATCTTCAAATCTGGGTACTGTCTTACGTTTTAAAATCACAAAGGGAGTTTGCCCCCATCAGACTAACGTGACAGTCACGACTCATGCAGCTGTAAGCTTTTCTTTCTCTTTTGTTTTT